AAAATCAGCCCTTAAAATATATACGCTTGTGTGGGTTCACCTATAATCCAGCGGACGATGGGATGTATGGAATGTAACTCGCACTGATATTCAGCCACACAAAACTATTTATCGTACCGTTAATGAAAGTAAATAAAAATATATATTACGTTAATTCCTGTGCAGTGCCAATAAAATAGTTAAATATCATGCTGAAATTATTATATTATTCACTATGCGGCGTTGTTCATCCAAGATTGTTATTAATAATTATTAAAATAAAAACAGATATAGCGCGCTTTTCTGAGTGAGTTCCGGTGCTATTGGAGTAGTGAGAGGTTTTTTGTTAAGTCAAACATCAGCGAGGCCTTTTAAAAAGAATTTCATTAACTAGCGGCCGCCCGCGACTTCGTACGCGTGGATCCCGTTTCACCCCCTTAGGGGTTTAATTTTGCAAAATCCCGTCTTAGTGAGCACCTACGTTCTAAAAGGAACCCCCATGCAAAATTTGAGACTCCTAGCACTTGTAGTTTCTGAGATTTCGTGATGAGTGAGTGAGCGAGTCAGAGTAGCCCATCGAATCACGTGCCTATTTGCTTAAAATATCTGCACGCGTCACTATTTGGATGAATAACGTCGCCTAACACATAGTATATTATATAAAATAGTTGTACGGCAATGTTTCCACATGACGCTAAAAATATAGGCATTTATGTGAATATATAAATATTATATATTATTGTGTTGCGGTTATATAGCATAGTCTGGGGGCCAGTGAAGTTATATATCAATATTTACTTCAGTATCTCTTCGATTGTTTTATGCAAACTTATAAAATGTATACATTTTTATTCTATTTGTTGATGAAGATCAAACTTTTGTTTTTGTTATTTGTATCGTAATGATTTGGCATATAATCGACTATGTATTTCCATTTTTGGGCGTCATCAAAATTATCTCTATTCCACAATCAATGAAAAAAACAAAATGTTATGTAATCATTTTTAAATTATGCAAAATTAAATTAAGTATTCGGTGATGTAGGTTATATTAATATTAATACGAAAAACCCCTATAGTTCACATAACTAATTCTACCAAAAATAAGTGCAAATTTAGTGATAATATGCGCGTGTATATAAAATAAAGTGTTATTATTAGATTTATATAGGCTAGTGCAATCGTATATTGCTTCCGGTAGATGCGGTTATAGTGGACTAAGTTTAATGTTTAGTGTAACAGCAATAAATGAATTGTAACAATATTTATGAACACTAGCCCTTGGACTATACCTAAGTAAGTGTCAACCAAAAATACCACAGTAACTATTTAGGGACCATGAAGTTTTTCAAATTTGAAATTGATTTCTCCTTTTCATACTCAATCCCTAATACTAACGAATTATGTAGTTTTTTTAGATATTATTTTTACTTAAACATTTATTTTATTTCTACCCTCTGCTTCTGTTTGTATTTATTTATGTATATCTTCTCTTATATATTTCAAAGTGCAATAATCGTGATAGTGCTGTGGTTACAGATTGTTATATTGTAAATATATTATACAAACGTTGTATATTGGAGATTATATTGACACCAAACTGTCGGCTTTTATAATTTTAGATGGTAATTATAAAAAATGTTAAAACAATTCTGTAAATTTGAGTGCCCTGTCAGAACAATCTGCATTGACTATAGAATATTATACTTTAATAATTTAGGCAGTTCTGAGGGCTGAGTGTGAGTTTACAATAAATGTCGTCACTAGTGAGCACGTTTAAAAAACCTATGAAGATTTTAGATCTTGAAAGTGTCTGCTAGGGGCGCTGTACAATCCGTCATACATTTAATGTCACTTTTTTACGCAGTCATTAGTGACGACTTTTAATGTAAACTCACACTAAGCCCTCTGTACGTCTGTACTACAACAGTTTTTTCATTCGAGACAGCAACATGCCATTTCAAATGTCAGAAATTACACTTGACATTTCCTAAGAATTCAATGTCAATTTACTGACACCAACATTTCAATGACAAAAGCATAAACGTACAAAGTTTTCTTCCAAATGTCTTTATTATGTATTTTAATTGTACCGTATCGGCCTAAGAATGGTCGACTTTTTATTAGGACAGAATGTTATTGAATCTAATATGTATGTATTTATTGTTTACAAATTAATGTATTAAGTAAGTCTACCAGTAAGAGCGCTTTCACATTTAGGGAATTTAGTAGCGCGACCAACGCGCGACAGTCGCTGCCGAAAATTTCCAATTTCGGCTTATTCCACTATTCCCCGTAGACAATCGTCCGTCAACGGGGATTAATGATTAGAACTTTTTGTTCACTATTCCCCGTTAACGCCAATTGGATCTTATAATGGGGAATAATGAACTAAAAAGTTCATTCATCCCCATTACGTTCAAAATAAAATCCTAATTTAATAAGCTCCAATTGGCGTTAACGGGGAATAGTGAACAAATAGTGGAATAAGCCAAAATGTCGTACTATGTGACAGCGGATGCATGCTTCACATTATAAAAACGCCGCTGCCGCGCTGCAGTCGCGCTACTAACGCCCTGATGTGAAAGCGCTCTAAATGGACGCTACAATGGTTCAATGAGGGCTATCGTTTTAACGCTCACCAGTTAGCGCCACTGTAGAGTGAGGTCCTGTCACTTGCTAGTAGCGAAGACAGTGGCACCAACTGGTGAGCGCTAAAGTGGTAGGAGGACTATCGCATTTGCACTCATCAAGATGGCGCCACTGTAGAGTAAGGTCCTGTCAATCGCCAGGGGTGCCAACTGTTAAGTATAAAAACGATAGCCCTCATTGATCACGCTCACTAGTAGCGGTAGGCTTTTGCAAACCTAACGTGCTAGGATGCGCGCCTTGATAAAATGTTATCGTTGATTTTGGACGACAATATACAGGGTGGAAACGATAAGTGATCTCACTCGATTATTTCTAAACTATACAAGATATCGCAAAACTGGTTACTGATTCTGATCACGAGATCTTTCAAACGGTACAGAATAAACTGGAACTATCCGAATATTCAAACTAGTTTTTTGATATCTTGTATAGTTTAGAAATAATCGAGTGAGATCACTTATCGTTTAAACCCTATATTTATGTTTTTTCGTTGTTCGGTGTCTTAAGAAACATTTTTATGTATAGTATAGACGACTCACGCACACAGACTTTAAAAAATAATACTTTAAAAATGTATAAATGAATTATGACAATTATTTTGACAAAATGTATCAAATTAAATGAATTTATTGAATTATTTTGTTAAACAAAATAAGAGATTAAACTTATTTTATAATAGTAGATTTCAAATGTTCAATTTTAATGCATTTATTGACATTAATATGGCAACACACATCAGTCTTGCCATGGTGTTTAAGACAAAAAACTAATTGACACTTGAAGCGTCATATTTAATGGAGCGTTTGAAGTAGTTTTTGCTTTGGACGCAGTCCGTCGCTTCGAACAGATATTTAGTGGTCATAGACAAAGTTTTTAGCTTACTTTTGTACGTGTTTGTCTGTGGCGACTAAACATTAAGTATGCATAATGTAACTGATTTAACAATTGTATAAATAATGATAGTTGTAAATATGTAGAAATTTGTCTGTGCACGCTCCCGGCCCGGCCATTTTGTCTCTGTCCATAGACAAGAGGATTGTAAATAATGTACAAAGCGATGTAGTGTGATCTCGAGCGAGGAGCGACGCAGACGTAGTGTTAAGAAAAGACCACCCTGTATAAAGTAAGTGTAAATATGTGTAAGAAAATACATAGCGACATTAATATTATATACAGTTATATTGTGTTTTATTTTACACCGTTTCGTTAGATTCTGAAAGAAGATTAAGCGAGTTTTGAAGAAAATAATGAGCACCTACGTTCTAAAAGGAACCCCCATGCAAAATTTGAGACTCCTAGCACTTGTAGTTTCTGAGATTTCGTGATGAGTGAGTGAGTCAGTCAGTCAATGACCTTTGTCTTTTATAAACATAGAATTCAGGGAGAAGAAGAACAACAAAAATTCAATTTCATTATCATTTATTAATGAAATATGTACTTAATATACAAATCTATTACATAACAAAACTTAACGTAAAACATTGTATGACCACGTCAAAACTAATCTACAATTTCTTTAATTGATTTAATAAAATACAAGATGGCGTTTTACCACTTACAAATTACGTTTAACTTCATGGAGTGTGTGTCCGAGATTTTTACTTTAAATTACCTAAAATTATAAAATATCCTACGTAACTTTGAAGAGGACATTTAATTATTATAATTATTTATACCCGTTATTCATATAAATAAACACTTTATATAAAAACAGTGGTATTGCATATAGCAACTGCTTCGGTCTCCTTTGAGAAACTGTCATAAAACTGCAAATCCTATGGGATTAGAAATAATATTTTAGAGAAAACAGATTTAAAAAGTAGACCTTTTAAGGGTTTAGGTCTTAAATCAGTCAGTGCCTGAGATAAGATAGGGGTGAAATTGACATAAAATATTTATGACGTCACAGGGCATACACATTTGAAATCTCGCTGACGTTTGACTGTCACAAAATAACTCCCTCGTGTCGCTCACTCACATACCTCAGGCACTGACCGTGCTAGACTAAAGTACGGCCAGCGAGAAGCGATACCAAATGTAAACAAACCCAATGTCATGGTCATTTGGAATAGCAGGGGTTTGACTTTGACATATTTTGGCGGGAGAACGAGACATTACGACAAATACACAAGATGGGAAGAGACAGAATAGATTGTCAGTTCAACAGTCGAATCGACGTTTTGTATCGCTGCTAGTTGGCCGTACTTTAGTAAGAATCGATCATAGAATGCAGAATATTGAAACTAAAAACCCCAGAACTTTTTTGTAGAACGAAATATGTCAAATGACACGTCATTTCTAAATTTTAGCGACCGAGAAGCGATCGTTCGCTTCGCAGCGAATTTACATTGTCTATGGTATTTTTTAATCTTTTTCATTTGAGTCTCAGCTTCTTTTTCGCGAACGGGTTCAACGGAGAAGGTGTCGACGGTTTCAAGTTTGTTTTTGTAGGTTTTTTGCTTCCATCGTAAGGAATATTCGGACTTTGTCTCACGCTTTTGTAGTAGTCTATGGTTCCTTGCATGGAATTATTCTTAAGTACAAACTTGACCTTCTTAGGCGTTTCAAATGACTTCTTCTGAGTCACTTCATTTGTCTTTTTTGATAGTTTTAATTGTTTATTTGTTGAAACTTCTAAAGTCTTCTTCGAAACGTCGCTTGTTTTTCTTGGGAGCTTAAATTGTTTATCATTTTTGTGATTTTTTTCATTTTTTGTTTCAGTTTTTACAGGTGTTACCTCTATTTTCTGTTTGCTTGCATGCTTTTCATTTTTTACAGGCACTGCCTCTGTTTTTCGTTTGTTTTCATGTTTTGTTTCACTTTTCACAGGTATTGACTCCATTTTTTCTTTGTTTCCATGTTTTATTCCATTTTTTAAAGGTGTTATCTCTAATTTCTGTTTGCTAGCATGTTTTTGCTGCTTCTCTTTTTTACTTTCTTTTCGCGTGTCAGTATGTTTGGGTTTCTTCGCGTTTCTGTCCTTGTGAACGTTTTCCTTGTTGGACGTATTCAGTTTGTGTTTTTTAGCTTTTTTCTCTGTCGCTTGGACTGCCCAGTCACCATTCTGTGAACAATATTCGAGGTTATTTTACTTGTACGTTTCTAATTAACAGGCTCCGAAACTACGGGACTGTTTTTAAATAATAAATCACCATAAAATAAATAAATAGTAAAAAAACGTTTATTGCTATAATTCATTAGAATCCTACATTATTCTGATGAACATGGCTGTTCTATTATTGTCTGTGGTAAAAAAAATGTCTATAGTTGCTCTTTAATCTGTGGTTGTCGCCTTAATAGCCTAGTGGCACTTATGAACGTCAAAATACAGTAGGTAAATAAAAAAGGTAGCCCTTATGGGGCACTTTACGTGTCTCCTTATCTTTTGGGCCCTACCAGCGCTTCGAGACAAACATATGGCAAGTGCTGAGAAGAAACGCCGGAACAAACTCAGTCACCACTTATTGCCAGGAATTATCTAACGGTAAGAATAACCAAATTCAAGTACATCAAATATGTGCACAACTGACCACCATGGTCTGGTCTCTAGCTGAAAAATAACCCTAGATACGCCAAGGGCAAGGACACAGAATTTGCCATGATATAGTTACGTCACTATGTGTCGTCACAGAATAATAATAAGTACTACGTACAGAATTTTTACTTCGCGAAGGTATTTAAAAAAATTGTATACTCATTGTCATTAACAATATGGTGTAATTTAGCCTGTCTCAAGAGTCAAGCACCATTTTGTTGACAAACGTCAGTGGTCGGCACTGCGCCGAAGCTATAGGGCTGACTTCGGTAAAATGATGTGACGTGAGGTGCCAAACTGCGGAAAATGGCGGAGGAAATACATGATTTAGCATGAATTATCATGAATAATAGTAACTACTTATTTACCTCTCAGTGTCTTGAGGCAACTTAAAAAAGTACATTCTGTTTTTATTATTATTTAGGCAGTTAAATACTGTACAGTATTTAGTACACCATTTTCTTTATTTTCTTCCATCATACACAAGAATACGCGTGCGTGAGTCAATGTTCGCTCGTATGTGAGGCCTTGTCGAATAGTATCCTGTAGGTGAACCATCATGCGTGTTTTGTTTTCGATGTAAACTCGGGGAGATGAACAGGCCTGGTGTCGTGTACTTACCGTGGACGTGACATCGCGGTCGGTGTCAGACATCAAAGGGGCGGCGGGCGTGGTGTCAGACACCAGCGCAACTCCGGAGCGACTTTTGGCCAACACTCGCTTGCGGTGCTTGCGACTCAGCCCTGGAATACGAAAGGTAACTTATTTACAACTACCCTTAAAATAGTAAGACACGGGTCTTAACGTAACTCATTAATAAACATCGCATTAAGACGCGTGTCTTACTATTTTAATTGAAATGGAATATGAAAAGTAACTTATTTACAACTACCCTTTCCAAAAAGAAATCGAACCTTAACTTAATGACAGTTCAACTTTCCCTCAAGACAAACTTTACCTTCACTTGTTGAGTTTGTGTTGGCGGTCAAGCCGAATCCACCAAACAAGGATTCGGCCAAACACCAGGAGTTATTCTTGGATAAAAGTTTGATCGAATCGGGCCTTAATAATATAAATTACTCTTAATTCTAACTTTATAATTCTGATGAACATAGGCGGTACGAAGTTCGCTGGGTCAGCTTTGTGTCAATTGCTGTTCAATAGTCTCGCTAAAACTCGAGAACGGCTGGATCAATTTGACTAATTTTGGTTTAAAGTTCGGTCGCCGAGCTGATAGAATTTCGTCCAATGACCCCAAGCTACCCATCCTTATCGCTGTCGCGTAATTATGTTGCTGTCGCGCTCGCACACTCACTGCGGGCGCCCGTCGCACAGTCGCGACAGCAATATAATAGGCTAGTTGCCTAAAAAATTTTTTTTAGTCCGTAATGTTTAATATCAAAAAATATTGGACACATATATTTTTATTTGTCAATCTAACAAATAATTACATAGTTATGGTGCGTTGAAGTTGCGCACGACGTCACAACGTGCGGCATTTTTGAGCAAGCGTTGACGTCACGGGCCTCTTCTTATGAACTTTGGCGTGCTTTATCTCTTTAAATTTTCATTAGTTTGAAAAAGTGAAAAATACGTGTAGAGTATTTTTTGATAAGTTAACTGACGGACTAATTAAAACTCTTGATTTTTGACCCAGGCAACATCCCCATTATGCGCGAGCGACAAGGATGGGTAGCTTGGGGTCATTGGACGAAATTCTGTCTGCTCGGCGACCGGACTTTAGTAGTGTCTGGATATTTAATGCATATTTCTTTCATCTTCTATTCTACGTATTATTCTCACCTCTCAACGCCAGCTCGTCTGAAGCAGCCACGAGTTTTTTCTCCAGCGCTTTGAGTTCCTTCGCCGCGTGCGCCGCTTTGGGTTTCTTCTCTTCGTCGTCGGATCCATACACGTCTTCCACTTTCAACGGGTACTCGTCTTTGGCTAGTTGCTCGAATCTGTAACGATTAAAGTGTTTACATTTATATATTTTTTTCAGGCATAGGACGTCTATGATTTCCATAATGATCGCTTATCAGCGGTCTGCGTCCTTTATGAGTGGGTGGACGTCTCTCTAGAACCTTGCTGCCCCATCGGGACAGGGTGTAATATGACTTATATTCGTAGTGTACCCTGGGAGTCTGCCTAAAGAAACTAATCTGCCCTCTTCCCATATCGTATCAGTCAATTCCCTCCCCCTCTAGACCATGCCTTACCCCTTTTGGCCCGCTTGCCCCCCTCCCTTTAGCCTAGCCCCTTAATGGACTAGCCTACCCTCTTAATGGACTAGTATAACCCCTTAATGGACCAGCATAACCCTCTTAATGGACTAGCCTACCCTCTTAATGGACTAGTATAACCCCTTAATGGACCAGCATAACCCTCTTAATGGACTAGCCTACCCTCTTAATGGACTAGTATAACCCCTTAATGGACTAGCCTACCACTTAATGGACCAGCCTACCACTTAATGGACCAGCCTAACCCTCTTGATGGACTTACCTACCCCCTTAATGGACTAGCCTGCCCCCATAATGAGCTAGCTTGCTTCCTTAATGGACTAGCCTACCACTTAATGGACTAGCTTACTTACCCCCTTTTCTGAGCTACAAACGTAAGTAACTCCATGAGATCAATTACTAACCTCTGCAAGCATAATATCTTCGTCCGCTTATGCGCTTTAGAGCCAGCGGTAGCGAGCAGGCCTTTCAACGTGCGCGCTATACTACTAGAGTCCACCGGGACTGGGTGTAATATGACTAACGCCCGTGTTTACAAACATTACTATGAGGTCTCACAGTGCGCGTGGACGCACAGGGTGACAAACAAAAAGATAAGGAGACATGTAAAATGCCCCTTAAAGGCTACCTTATTTTTATACTGTATTTTGACTTTCGTAAGTGCCACTTGCAGTCAAAATTGAAGAAAATATATTTGATTTTGAAACGAACCAACCACAGAACTCTATTCAATGCTGTGCGTTCTATTTGCTGTTTCATAAGCAAGCACCGTTTGTGAATACAGGCGTTAGTCACTATTGTCCCCTCTAGCCTGTAGTTTTGTCTACCCTACTACTGGGTCACTCCCCCCGTCCAAGATTCTTTTCCCCCTTTTGAGGAAGCCTGTCTCCCACCTCCTTTTATACTAACCCCCCTCCCCCTTAGTGAGTTACAAACTAGATAATCCCATGAGACTAGGTAGTAATAGCACAGAATAATAATAAGTACTACGTACAGAAGTTACTCCGCGAAAGTATTTAAAAAAAAATATGCTCAATGTCATTAACAATATGGTGTAATTTAGCCTGTCTCAAGAGTCAAGCACCATTTTGTTGACAAACGTCAGTGATCGGCACTGAGCCGAAGCTATAGAGCTGACTTCGGTAAAATGATGTGACGTGAGGTGCCAAACTGCGGAAAATGGCGGAGGAAATACATCTGGGACGTGTAAAAGTGCTTTTTAAAAGTCTATTTGCAAAATAAATGAGTTTTAAGACAGTTTTTTTTATGAGTTACTCACCGTTGCAAGCATATCTTCGTCCGCTTATGCGCTTTAGATCCAGCAGTAGCGAGCAGGCCTTTCAATGTGCGCGCTATACCACTGGCGTCAACTGAAACTGGATGCAGGATGACGTCAACACGTCCTGCACGCGGGTCCAAGGCTGTTGGCACGCTGGGAAACGGGATGAATTATTAATCTGTATATTTTAACTAAGCCCGGTCTCTGGAAAGTTTTCCAGGAGTTTTGAAAGTATAATCTGGTCGCTGAGCACGTAGAATTTTGTCCATTGACCCCAAGCTACCTATCCTTGTCGCTCGCGCGTAATTATATTGCTGTCGCGAGACAGCAACATAATTACTATATTTTCAAAACTCCTGGAAAATTTTCCAGGTATAACTTCCAAATGACTAGACCAATTGAACATTTTGAAACCGCTGGATGTGGACTGGGTAATGAAATCGAAATTGTTTTGTTCAGTCAGACAGATATTTTTTTATAAACGAATAATTGCAGTATTATATTGTGTTGAAAAGTCGCGTGACACCATTTCAACACGATGTAGCGTTGTTATTATTTAATTATGAAAGAAAAGAAAAAATACGTGTCCAATATTTTCTTACTACCTGTCTGACGGACAAATAATTAAAATTTTCTCCACTAACCTATTTTCTGACATCTGTCTAGTTTTTTAAGTCTATTAGTTACATTACAAACAAACATTTTTTTTTCTTTATAGAATTTATTGTATAACTATAGGTGAAAACTTGTAATTGGCTTTACTTTAATTATAAATAAATACTGCTTAATGTAACATTTAGCTGTAAGTTTTCCTAAGAAATCCCTACTAATATTATAAATGCGTAAGTAACTGTGTCGCTTTCACGCCTAATCACTGAAATTTGGCATAGACATAGGATAGTTTTTATTTCGATTTTTAGGTCGCGGGAAGAGCCTGGATGCGGGCAGCGCAGGACCGTTCATTGTGGAAAACCTTGGGGGAGGCCTTTGTCCAGCAGTGGACGTCATTTGGCTGAAAAGAAAGAAGAAGAAAGATTTTTTTTTACAGAGGGACGAGCGCGATAAGTTTTTTTGTGACAGACAAAATTCCACGCAAGCGAATCCGCGGACGGAAAGCTGGTGCAAAATAAAACACAAAATAAGCACTTACTCATCGTCATCATCGTCGTCTTCTATTTCTTCTTCTTCCGCCTCGTCGTCCGAGTCCAGTTGCAGGGCGTCGGGCCCGCCGCGGGGACAGCCCATCTGTCATTAGTAATTAATTACTAATTACAAATATAACACACTTCAACTACCACTGTACACATCGTTAGCTTAAAGGGAAGATAATCCCTACTAAAGTCCGGTCGCCGAGCACGTAGAATTTTGTCCAATGACAATAAGCTACCCATCCTTATCGCTCGCGCGTAATTATATTGCTGTCGCGCTCGCACACTCACTGCGGGCGCGCGTCGCACAGTCGCGACAGCAACATAATTACGCGCGAGCGATAAGGATGGGTAGCTTGGGGTCATTGGACAAAATTCTACGTGATCGGCGACCGGACTCTATCAAACGTCCGTACCTGTTTCCAAGCGCGCGTCTTGTCGCGGTAGGCGAGGCCCTGCTCTGTTTGTCGTAAGAGCTCCGTCAACAGACGCCTGTAAAGTCAAATACAGGGTGTTATTTTTTATACTTGAATAATTATACTGCCACACATTAAGAGAATTGAATCTTATAGCCACGATAGCCGAACGGTGAAGGGGTCGGAGTGGCCGACTCGAGATCCGAGGAACGCGGGTTCGAATCCTACCGCCGCTCGACTATTGTGGTGAGCCCACTCGTAACACAAGCTTATTTAGCTTAACACGAGGGACTACCGGGACTATTAGTCATTTGGGCGATACAAATTGCTAATAATCTTAAAAAAAAAACTGGATCCTTGGATACTGTTTTAAATGTGAACAAATTAATAGCTACCTGCAAGCGACGCACAGCGCGGGTGAATCGCCGGCGCACATGTATCCACAAAAAGGTCGCAGCAATTCCGTCACGCTCGCGCCCGGGACTTCGCCCTCCGACACCTGGAAAATTGACGAAAATCAGTAATAGTAACGGGTAAAACATTAAAAATTTTAAGCATTAAAAAACACACGAAGTGTTGTGGGCACTGAAAATGCCGATCACAGACATGTGTAAAGATGTTTGTCAACATTTTTGTACTCACTTCTTAAGTGCGCTCTTATTTCCCGAGATGTAATTTTTGCGATTACTCGATAGACTCGATAGACTCGATAATGTTGATCGAAGACAAAAAGAAAAAGCTGATTTTTATTTCATGTTATCTGGGGGTTATCCCGGGATTGCCTATATACGATCCCGTAATCCCGGGATTAGAAAAAAGGTTCAGGATCAAATCTACTCATCGCAACTGAACGCTTGAACAACTTACCACCTAGTTTAAATATTTGACGATACCACCTAGTTTAAATATATGTATTTACTATGCATCTTCACACTTCTGTGCTTAGCGTTACACCCTGTATACAAGTACAACAAGTTTAACCGCCTCTGTGGTCTAGTGGTAAGACCACCTGCTTCAGACGCAGAGGTCCCGGGTTCGATTCCCAGTGGGGGCAGATTTTTCTGTTCGGTTTGGTTGGTGGTAGGGCTTGTTCTAAGTCCGCCTGGCTAGCTACCACCATCTTACCTAAGTCTGTCGCCATAACAACAATGTTAACAGCATTATTGTGTTCCGGCAGTTAGAGGTAAGATAGCCAGTTCCTCCGTGGTTGAGGATTCCGGGTGAAGCTCGCTTCCACCTTCGGCCTGATCATCACTTACCATCAGGTGAGATACAGGCCAAGAGCTTCCTCGTTGTGGATAAAAAAAAAAAAACAAGCTTTGCTTAGTTTGGGACTAGAAGCGCAGTGTAAAATGTCCAAGGATATTGATATTGATACGTTGGCTCACCTTAGACAGCTCCTCCAAGAAGCAGTCCACGAAGTGCATCAGCATGGAGCCCGCGTTACGCGCGTATAACGGCGTGCGAGGACACAGGAGCCCTGGAGAAATGAGGTACCATCTTAGTCGATGGAGTACGAGCTATACAGAGTGGAATTTTGTAATGCCACCTGGAAGAAAAGTACTCTTAATATTGTAAAGCCTGGTTCGTGAGCACGTAGAATCCAGTCCAATGACCCCAAGCTGCCCATCCTTGTCGCTCGCGCGTAATTATATTGCTGTCGCAACTGTGCGACGCGCGCCCGCAGTGAGTGTGCGAGCGCGACAGCAACATAATCACGTGCGAGCGACAAGGATGGGCAGCTTGGGGTCATTGGACGGGATTCTACGTGCTCACGGACCAGGCTTTAGATAGAAAAAAAATCTCAAAGAAAACATTCCTTTATTTTTGAAAAGAAATAGAACTGCATTCATAGATTTCCAAAATTTTGCTTGCCACACCCGGGAATCGAACCAACTGAAATCTGTTAAAAATTACACCCTGTATTTTTATTGCATCGATCATTAGGGTCAAGTATAAGGATGAAATCTCTCTCACAAACTTGATAAATCAAATGAAAGGAAATCATTCATCAGAAAATTGTATGGTTTGGTTAGTGAATTTTCGAAATTTTTCGAAAGTCTATGAATGCAGTTTTCTTTCTTTTCAAAAATAAAGGAATGTTTTCTTTCAGTAAAATTTTCTATCTGCAGTATTAAGAGTACTTTCCCTCCAGGTGGCATTACAAAATTCCACCCTGTTGATCGTTTCACCCACGAAGACGCGCCCCACCATTGTTCCGCTAATGTTTGAGTGTTATCGGTACACGCTAAATGATCCATGAGTGCACACGCACACTACAGTAATGCCTTACGGATTGCTCGGACCACACTCCCCGCACCCCGCGCGACCGGGACCAAACATTGCTGGGGCGCGGCCGAGTGGATGAAACGATTTATACAGTTAGAGCCCGCGACTGGACTACATACAATACGTATATCGAATTTTTGGCGTCAATAATGCGACATGTTGAGAAAAAAAGACGCTAAATATGTAATTTTCATTGTTAATGTAAAAAAATGAATTTGATGACTTTTTTTATAGAAATTACAATTAAAGAAAATAGCGATTAAGTCTTCATCTCAATACTCAAATATTTATTGTAAACCATCGTGTTAATTTTACATAATGTTTATTAAACTACTGCCTTTCAACATTTTGGCAACTGGCCAATTAACGTAATTCCATGCGTGAGCCAATTAAAAAAAAACATTTGACAGGTAGCTGAAACTTGGCGGAAGATTTCCGAGGAGGAGGGTAGTTGAACGAACAGCATGGACGATCCGTTTTTATGCTTTAAATTTAATAATGAACTTTAGTGTACAAATGTGATGTTATTGTGTGTTCTAACTAAAGTGTAGTGGAGTGATAAATGCGTAAAAACGTTGAAACACTGAAGTTGTCGTGTGAAACTATTGTTTATATTCCACTGGCTTAAATAAACCTCGTAAAGACAGTTGCAGCATAAAAAAATGTATAAAAAAGCAGTTTTGTAATAACGTTTTTATTTTACACAAGCAAAATTGCATTTTATTCCAACAAAAACAACATTTATAAAAATGTCTCGCAATGCAGTTCGTCTGCCGTAAAAAAATATGAGTTCGATGTACAAATACAAAAAAAATACAAATTTTACTTACCTACAAAATATTTATTCATACAAACAAGTCAAATAACAAAGTTTTTGATCTAATACTTTTGTTTTACCAACTTGTATTAGGATCAAACCGAAAGTATGTAAGCCAAGACGGTTAATTCAACTACGACGGTTATTTATTTATTTAAAATCTTTATTGCACACATAAAAACAGAGGTACAACAGGCGAGCTTAATGCCATGTGGCATTCTCTTCCAGCTAACCAGAAAATTAGACAAAACAGAGAATTTAAGTTTTAAAATTGTGAATTGTGTGAGACGTGACCTGCAATATATTTCTACACTCACCATCGCTGCCGGTCAGCATGTCAGCGTATTGTTTGCACGCTGCGCCCCAGCCGGCTCGCCGAATGATTCGCAGACTGCCGCGGAGGTAGCGGCGGACTAACTGCAGCAAACGTGATTGCGAAGGTAAGTATAAAACTAAAACTCATTTATTTATGCAAGTAGGCTTTAAAAAAGCACTTTTACACGTCCCAGTATTAACCCTACCACTGCTTTAGGACAATAAATGGCCCAGTATGGATATTATTTTTATTTAAAGGTTTTTTAAATTATGGACTTCAATTTATGCCTACAGCTAGGGTTGCCATTCCTCCAGATTTCCACAGATTTGCCCTAGTTTAGAGGGCATCCGGGGTGCGTCCGGGCGAGATTTTATTACTTTGTAGTCCAGGTTTAAAAAAACCCATTGACATGTCCGGATTTCAGACTCCAAAATCCGCGTTGTCTTGGTTGCCAAATTTTAGATATGGCAACGGATAAAAAGCCACCTACAACAGTGGTGTCAGAATAATTAAATTAAATACTACCGCAGTAACTAGTAGCAAAACCATTATTTAGAAGTATTCCGCGCCTGGCTGTCTTTCTTAAGTTTTTATTTCATGTTTGTTTCGATCTTACACTTGCGGGATTTTAAATAAGTATAAGATTTTATCTTTGTGGATATTTACAGCTAAATTACAGAACAAAACACGCTTTTCGCAATCCGCTTTTCGCTGTGAACTAAATACAGGAGCAGCACTTTGTTTCAATATAATATGCCATTGTTTACACAAAACATCTGATTATGACCTAAGTCGATTGCAGATATAAAAAGGGAAAAAAAAATTGTTTACGTACCATCAGGAACTTGTCCATACGGTGTTGGTCGATGCCGTACCACTCGGTCGCCAACACCTTGAAGCCAGCTTTGGTCATGAGCAGCGCGTGCTTGATCTGCTCCGGAGGAAACAGGTCTAGGATACTGGCTATGGTCTCACAGAGTTCTTCCTGAAAAGTATTATTAATAATGTCATTTCATTCATAGTATGTTATTGGAGGTTAATTTACAGGAATAATACAAATAATAATCATCATTTTAGACAGGCACTTGAATTATTTATTAAACAGGTCTAAATTATTTTGTGGTATTTTTTAAGGATTTCTAGGAAAGGAATCTTCTTATGGAGTATTAATAAATTATGATTATTCTTTGGTCTTGATGTAAATATTTTCCAATGCTTATATTATTTAAGCAATTAAGTGTTGTGCCAGTATGTTTGCATTTAGCTCTCAAAGAATGATCCATTATTTAGGTCTCAAAGAATGACAAACTTGTTTGAAGGTTTTACATACACCATTTTTTACAAAATGAAGGCTACTAACCTGAACCAAAGGTTTGTCTGACATCCAAACAGCATAAAACAGCCCCTTCCATACCCTAATAAAGTCATCTTCTTTAAATTCTGTAAAAAAAGATATTTGATGAGAAAAAACCTGATACTTTATCCAAAACTATAATTATGTGTGGGCACTCTCACATAAATAAGAAATAGTTATTATCTTAATACTTTAAAATACTAGAAATACTGGTATTACAATGCCAAGTATATTTTATAGACTCTGTAAGTAGTAAACAACATTTTTGTTGGGAAAGCATGAAACTTTTGAGGTTATGCGCCAATCAATCGATGCAAGTTTTTTGTTTGATATTCTAATAAAATTAACTAAGTAAGCTTTAAAATGATAAATATACATACCGTATCCTTTAGCAAAACAATTTAAAAGCCATTTCTTGAACGTTTTCAGCACTCTATCGCGGGTTTTCTTTTCGTTTCCAGAAAGCAGCCTGGCAAACTTAATTTCTTGGGCCACGATCAAAACCTTTTCTTTCTTGTCCTTCGGTTTAGGTTTCTTCAGCGATTTACGCTTCTTTTCTTTTATTTTATTGACGGTTTTCATCTTGAATCGATTTTACAGAACGTGTTTTCAGTTCAGTAAACCAACAAACGTCAAACGTTGAAAACGTGTGATTCAGGGTGTGGAAACTTCCATACAACGGTCATCGAAGTGAAACTTGCTTCCAAACAGCGACATCGGTGAATAAATTCAAATACTTTTTAACTACCCTAAAACGCTCTAGATGTCGCTGCTCCTGTTTCCTTCATATTTTCATTTTTTTCTTAATTATAATATATTTGAGAATATTGTTAATTACAATGTGAAAACTTTTTTTAAATGAAATTAATTTGTTTTAATTTAAAACTGAACATTGACATTTTTGTTATAATTTACATAATAGAGTAGTAGATATTACTATTTAACATATGGCAACATTGTTTTTCCTCCAAAATGGCCGGTGTTGTTTTTGTTATGTTAAATGCATTCTTGTTTTCTTAGCCATCATTTAAGTTTTCTGTGGCCCTATTAAAGTATTGAAGAGTCGTCGAGTCAAATTCAAGTTCATTCCTTCGTACCTGCTGCTGTTCTGGTTCATCGGAGTTTTGTTCGTTCGTTCGTGAATCGCGAAGAAACTTTCTGTTATGTTCACAAGTGATCTGAGTTTTCTCAATGTGCTGTGTTCTGTGTTTAGTGTTGAAAACTTTGCGAAAAGACGCTTTTGGTGTATAATATTATGTGTGTTCATAAATAAAGTAAAATTATTAAATTCAAAAGTTTTTGTTTACTTATTTGCATTTCCATGTGCAATGTAGAATTTTTCCAAATCCATTGTTTTGAAAATAATACAATACGTACACCATAAAGATAAATATTTTCAAAATAATGGATTTGAAAAAATTCTACATTGTACATCATAAAAACAATAATTCTTTGAAGGTTATGAGGGCCTATGTGTGCGTGAACTGTGTGTATGTGTGCGTGGACTTTATGTATGTATGTGTGCGTGTACTATGTATGTATGTGAGCGTTACGTACGTAGGTTAAGTACAGGGAATTTAACACCAGGCTGTCAATTAGTAGGCTTAAAAATTTGACAGAGAGGGTTCTCTATTTCCTATGTATTACTTTTCTCTATGGTGTGATTTTAAAACGTCAAAAAATCTGGTATTCTTCGAAGTTCACACGTATCTGAAGGCAATAGAGGTTATTTTTCTTTAACACTATATTTATTGAGTGTTGTCATACTCGGGCTTAATTATTCCCATTAATCAATACTGACTGAAAATCAATACGCAATTTTCGGTCAGCAGTGTCAGTTTTGTTTATAGCAAATTAGCAATATCAAAATGATTTACAGGACCGGTCTTTGTGGGAAACCTTGGGGGAGGCCTGCAGTGGGAGTCTTTCGGCTGAAACGAACGAAATGGTTAGGAATTTTTATAAGTCCCTCCCAAAAATATATTACTGTTTTTGAGTATACAGTATACTGCACAGCAAGATTTTTAGGTACAAAAACTTAAGGGCGTTTTCAGTTTCCTAGCAAGAAAATTTATATCGCATCAGAAGGAATAAAAAACTAGTCTAAAAACATGTAATAGGTATAGGTGTACCAGAATCTCATGGCAAATGGGGAAAATAAACTTTGTTGAGTGCAATACTGGGGAAATTGGATTAAACGATCTTGATACTTTTTAATTTTTATTTATGACTAATATTAATGAACATGAAGTACGAATGCCGAACTATACATTTTAGGTTTGTGTATGAAGAATGTTGTTATACATCAGATTTTTAACATAGGAACGTGTCTTGAAAAATAAGTAAACCGTATATTACTGTAAATAATTTTATTAAGTATCATACTTATAACTTATCACTTCATTCAGAACTAGAAAACGATTCTAAGAACTCCACTTGCATTTCTTGTTCTTCAAATAGATGATCAAGTTAAAGAGGTATTAATATAATATAAATCGCTTTTTCAGCATTTCAATTACTCAAACTTGCTTGATGAAATTTTTTCAATTTTCTTTACATGGTCATAACATTTTCACCATTCCTCTGCACCAATGCATGAAATACACCTGAAAACCCCGATAAAGCAGCTATTAGGTAAGAATAATATAAAAATAAACATAACCCTCCTTCTGACGCAGTTAGGTAATACAGTGGCGTAGCTTGGGGGGGGCAGGGGGGGCCATGGCCCCGGGCGGCATATGAAAGGGGGCGGCGGATAAGAAAAAAAACATTGCATGAACAAGAAAAAAAAAGGTCGACTATGTCTACGTTGAGACTAACAAATCTAGCTATACTGGCAATTGAAAATGAGATACAATTTGATATCGACGATTGTGTAAAAGATTTTGCTTTGAAAAAAGCACGAACAGTAAATTTTTAATCTATTTTTTTAAGTAATAGTAACAAAAATATTTAAGGAGCTTACTTACTTACCCATCTAAAACTTGCGCCACAGATAATCTTTCGTGATTTCTCTTGTTACAAACCGAAATAAAAAAGTGGTTTGTAAATAGTTAAAGCCATATCTAAGCTACTTTTAAAACCGTGTATTTATTATATTCTGCAAATTCGAAATTCAAAATGAGCTAGCTAAAATGGTAACTTTTAGCAGTAATTAAATCTGTAACTTGCTGCAAATATGTAATGAATTCAAACAAATTATTTTAAAAAATAGCTTCGATACATATATACATTTTTCAAACCACTTTTTTAATTTCGGACGGGTCGCGAACTTGTAAAAAAAAATGTTAATCCGGCATGCTCGAGCGCGATTTATTTTTATTTTTATTTTGACTACTTTATATGCCTACCCCCACCACGCAAACCGGCAGATTAGTATACCGTTGTTATCAGAGGCACTCGGGGCATACGTAGTATGAATATCTGACGCGCTCGAGAATGCCCAAGTAACTGTTTTTTTTTAACATTTTTGAAAAACCGTACACGCCAAACCCACCGCTAAAATGGTTTTTGCCATACGAGCTTTTCTTTTCGAAATTATTTTATCTTTCGATTTTGATAGGTCTCGACGGCGCCGTTGAATTACGCCATTTAGCTACCTCGCCTCCCTAACTATAATAAAGCTGAGCTATTTAAGAAAATCAAACTTCCTGTGGGTTTCAAGCAATTGCTTCTCTTTAATGTATTTTCCTTTTGAAGCAGTGCGTGGTAGTTTATTTTGAATTTCAACAAATAAGGTGAATAGTGTACCTGAAGTCCATTCAATATAATATTTAAACTTTTAAATATTTATAATTAAAATAAAGGGCGGCGGATTTCCAGACGGCCCCGGGCGGCGAAAAGCCACGCTACGCCACTGAGGTAATAAACTAAATGTAGGTAAGTATCAAAACATTTCACTCCAACTTACTGTCAACTCAACGACGCGCTTTAAAATCAAAGATTGACTTTGAATTATGCCTTATTTACAATACACTTTGAAAACAATATGACTTGCTTGAGTTTTTTCGTCTTTTTCACAAAAATAACAAAAAGGCATAAAGATATTACAAAATTTCTGCAACGGCTGACAGATCTCTTGATTTACTTTGACAGGTGACAATAAAGCCATAGACAATGGCCATATGAAAAACACACTTTTCCAATATTTTTGTTTGCCATGAGATTCTGGTACACCTATAGTGGTAAATAAGAAAAAGATATAGAAATTCATAACATTTATTATATCAAACATAATTTCAACATACAAGAATATAATGCGTTTTTATTTTAGGCACACTGCATCGATTTAAAACATTATTTGCTAATTCAATACTATAATATTGCAATAAATTTCATGTAACTATCAAATATGTCTATTAATAAATAGTTATTAAAAACTTTTATTTATAAAAATAATGTAACACATTCTTAACTACAGCTAAGTTAAAGTTTTGTTCTAATTAGTGACCGTGTAACATTAACAAATGATATCATTAAATGCACTGTTTACTTCTATTTTATTAAGTATTTATAAGGTGATAATGAATGATAATTTTAAAATGTTTTTTTAAGTTCCATTGACACATTCAATAAGTATTAGAAATTAATATTTTTACATTACATAAAGTCAACATAATTATGTTTTTTCAACTGTGAAGCATTCTTAATTTTTTTATGATTATGTTTAGCTTTAAGTAACAGTAGCATGCACAAAGACATAATTATGAAATGACTACATGGGTTTTGAAGTAGTCGATAAAAATACTAGGTCATCGCATTGTATTAAAATATTTTAGTAAAAATAACTTGAGTTACAACTAGTGAACTTTTTTCAACCATTCGTAATTTTCATCATACTCAAACACCAAAACTAATAACAAAACAACTAAAATCTTCGGATAGAAGAAAAAAATATCAACAAAAAATATAACAATAATAATCTCTTATCAAATAGTTTCAAGCGACAATAACAATTAAAGCAAGATTATTTACACGATTAATAAAATATTAATAACATGGAATGTTTAAACGTGAACAAATTCGATCAATATATCAATGTTAAAAAAACGTTAAGTTTTACTGCAAGATAGTATAATTATATGTAACTAGCTGACCCGGCGAACTTCGTACCGCCTTAGCGTAGAGATTTTCTTAATATTTTTTTCCGTAAGAACCATCCTTGGACTTCCACAAACATTTAAAAAAAAGAATTATCGAAATCGGTTCAGCCGTTCACACGTGATGCCGTGACAACGCGAAACGGGTTTCATTTTTATATATATAGATTTTAATTAGATTTTTGACACCAATTATCAATCATTTCTTTTCTAAAGAACACCATGCTGATCTTAAAAACTAAATTAGCGGTAAATTAAGATTTTTAATTAATTTCAAATTGATAAAAATATATCTATTGAGTTGGTAAAGAAGTGACGTCATGTCACACAAAATCTATGGGATAATCGCATTTTTACAACAAACAAAAAGTACGTCAATTGATCGGCGGTGTCAAATGCTCAATTTATTAATGATTTTATATTTTAACGACCAAATAATTACAGTAAATTAATCTAAGATTGCAGTCTGGGTCTGGTCTAGTTCAATGACTGAATAAGTTACATAATACATTGCACAATAATATAGGCCACAATATCACGACAACCTTGTTCAGTCATCATTGTCGCCCAGCATAGACAATGGATCGTCGAAGACTGGTTCTGCTGTTTTGGTTGATACTTCTCTCGCCGACCTTGTGGGTTGAGCAATGGTGGCTAAAAAAAAAGATTTGGAAATTAACGTTGTATTCTCCCATCCTTTGTGTAAAAGGTACAAATTATGGCAACTCTTAAAAGTCCCAAAAAAGGAATAGAGAAAAATCAAAAAGGTTTTATAGAGTTAGATATTATCAAAAAATCTGCAAATTGCTTTGATTTTTGAGTGTAAAATTAAAACGATGAGATTTTACAATGGATTCGGAATTTTAAGAATAAATTTTCTAGTTTACCCACAAATCTATTATGGTAAAGACATAAAAATAAATAGGTTATAACTTACCGGGGTTGCTTTTGACTTTAGCTCCAAACAAATCATCATCATCATCTTCATCACCAAACAGAGAACTCTTCACCTCAACCCTTTTCACATCTTTCACAGCTTTCGTATCTTTCGTCTCGCTCACAACTGCTTTAGTATCTTGCTTACCCTTTCTCCCGCCGAACAAATCTTCTTCACTGTCAGAATCAAGTATAATTTTCTGTTTGGGCGCGACTTTCTTATTTTTATTGAACAGTTCATCATCATCATCACTTAGGTCGTCAAATAATGATTTCTTGTTATCACCCTTTTTGTCAATAGTAGTTTTTGGTTGTGCATCTTTATAAGCATTTCCTAATGTACTAATATTAGCTACTGCTTCAGTGTTTTTAGAAGAACTTCCTATGTTTTTAAATAGATTATCATCGTCAAGGTCCATACGAGGTGGTTTTGTTTCGGCAGGGGCAGAGAAAATGTCTTCGTCGTTTAAAATGTAAACTATTTTGGATGTCACAGTTTTAGGTGATTCCAATTTTGGTTCGGCTTTGATTTCGACTTGAGTTGGAGATTCTGTATCAGTATCTTTCACTTCTGCCTTGGAATCTGTAGCAGAATTGTCTTTTGGCGTGTTTGTGGTATTTTCAACGAGGGTTTTATTGGAGTCTTGAGTTTTAGGCTCAAAAAGACCAGGAATTTCCTTGTCTTTGACCGTTTCAAATAGGGTTTTATTGGAGTCTTGAGTTTGAGGCTCAAAATCATCCGGTTTTTCCTCACCTTTTATTTTTGAATCGACAATATCAGTACTTCTTTCTAAATCAGTCTCAAATTTCACCTCTAAGGATGGTAACTCTTCAGATTTGGCGACTATTTCGCTAGTTTTAGGTAATTGTGTCTCTATATCAGTTTTGAGTGTGTCCAAATCATCAAACTTCGATATACTGTCCTCAAAGTCTATATTTACTTCCTTCAAGCTCTCCGGTTCCTTATAATCATCTCTTTGTGAATTAACTTTAGTTATTCCTTTAGACACGTCGTCTATAGAACTAGAATTATCAGTAGAATCATCGCCAAAGTCTATACCAGATTTTCTAACAGCTTCTTTCCTAGCTCGTCTTGTGCTGGGTCGCCTTTTGACTTGTATCTTTGCTCTTTCTTTGGATATTTTGTTGTCTAGCACTTGAGAATCCGGCTCGCCTTCGAAACTTACAGATTTAACCATCACCGGCTCAATTTTCTCTTTAGAGTGCAAATCTTCGCTACTTTTAGCAAATATTTGGCCGTCTGTTTGTTCTAAAGACTTTTTATGTTCTTTTTTAAGTAAATCATCAGTACTTTTGGTATCAATTTGATCCAACGCCTTTTTCTTAGGGGACGCACCAGGTAGCAGAGTACTGACGTCTATGTTGAAATTCATAGTTTTCAGTTTACCCACTTTTTTAGGTTCTCCATCGGTAGTGTCTTTTTGAGATTCTTTTGATAGAGGTTTGGGTTTGTCTATATGAGGTTTAGGATCTAAAATCGAAGGTTTTTCTTTATTTAATGCCATTTCTTCTTTTGCTGCTTGTTTCAATTCAGTTTTAGAATCGAAAGTTGGCAATTTTGGGACGTTCTCAGATGATTTCACAACAGCATCTGAAGTTACAGCTTTAGGAGTGCTAAACAAATCGTCGTCTGAATCTGTATTTAGAAAATCATCATTGAGATTGCTTTTTGTTGGTTTCTGAGTGAAATCGACATCAATAGCGGGAGGTTCATCGTGGAATATACCGAATAGTGCATCTCTGTTAACTTCAGGACCCAATTCCGGTTTTTCATCAACAACCGGTTCATTTTTCTTAAAGAATAAAGCCTCGTCTTCGGAATCATCATCGAATAGGGCATTAATGTTCTTACTTCTTTTAGGTTCTTTAGATTTCTTGAAAGCCGGCGGTTCGCTGAAGATATCGTCGAATACATTAGGCGTGAACACTGGATCGCTTGTAGTTGGAACGTCATTTAGTTGGTCAGCGAAAATATCATCATCTTTCAAATCATCTACGGTGTCCATAGGAGGCGGTATTTCTAAGTCTGTTTCTGGCAAGAAAGAATCAACCTTATCATTACTACTTTGAATTTCTTTTGGTAATTTTGATTCTTTTTCTTCTGTAGGTTCAAGTTTCATTTTATTCGTACTGTTTGTATTTTGTTCAGTTTTTAGTGATTTAGATTTAGTGTCTTCTTTTTCCATAGTTATTTTATCATCTGATGTGTTAAGTGGATCCTTGTCTGCCCATTTTGATGTTACTTCTGCATTATCTTGAACACTAGATGGAGTGATATTTGGTGCTTGTTGAATAGACTTTATATTATCATTTGTATCTTGCACATTTTTATCATTATCAAGTACTTTAGCCATATTATTGTTGTTTCTGGAAGCTACTGTTGGTTTTCTAAGAATATCTGGTTTGGGTTTAGTTTGAACTGGTTTTTTGCTTTCAAATATTGATTCTTCTTCATCATCGAATAATGATTGCTTATTTTGTATCTCAGTGTTTGATTCCTTCTTTGGATTATTGGTTATTGACTCATTTCTCTCTTGATTTATTGGTCTATTCTTTTCATTGTTAACATTCTCTTGTTTTGTGGTATTAGTAAATAAATTATCTGTTTCCTCATCATTAAAAACCGATGAATTTTCAATTGGATTTGCCTCGATTGTATTATTTCTTGTATTATCACTGTTATTTATAGAATTCTTATTTCCTTTATCTTCGGGAAGTTTTGTACCGAACAAATCATCATCATCATCGCTGACGTCATCGAACAGTGGTGATTTTTGATCTTTGCTTTTGAAACTCTGAGTTTGAGAATTACTTAATGTATTGTGTTCACTTATTGATGACTTTGTGGTAGTACTGCCGAATAGATCATCGTTTTCATCATCATCATCATCAAATATTGATTTAGCTGCAGTTATGCTTTTTTCACTAGTAAATACTTTCGTAGCTGCTTCCGTTTCATTAAGATCGTTAAGATTATTATCTATTTTAGTTTTATTTCTATCGTTAATGAGCATTTTATTATTTGTAACTTCTTTAGTTATGTTATCGACAGTTGAATCATTTTTGACGTTAGGTTTAGTGAACAAATCATCGATTTCGTCCTCTAAAACGCGAGTGTTGCCAGGCTTTGCAACATCTTTAACAGGTTTACTATCTGGTTTTTTAGCTGTATTCTCGGAAAATAGGTCATCATCACTATCAAAAATACTTTTGTTCTTATCACCCACACTTTTGCTATCTTCTTTTGAATTTTTTGTAACAGCAACATCCGAGAATAAGTCTTCATCGTCACCGAACAGTGTTTTTTTATTATCTGCATCCTTTTTCACTGTATTGACATTTGTAGTGAAAATATCATCTATATCATCGAATATGTTATCACTGAACAAATCTACTTTAGCTTTAGGCTTTTCTACTTCTTTTTTTATCTTCTCTTCTGTCTTCTTTGCATTTTTCTTCTGTTCTTTCTCGGATTTGGCGAATAAATCATCAAAGATATCTTTTTCTTGCTTATTTGATGTCGTTTCTGGTTCTTTCGGTGGTTCGTCGTTAGTTTCGTCGTCGGAGGACGAAGTTCGTCGGTTTCGTCGCAAGATGGCGGCTCCGATGCTCTCGGCGCCTCTCGTGTTGCCGAAGAGAGATATTCCGCCGATCGGTTTCTGTAAAAATTGCAACATTTTTTTACTACGAGACTATTCCCCCCGCTGCAACTCCTGTGTAGCCAGGATCTACAGCTTGACCGCCAATAACCCAACCAGTGGAGGTCAAGTTTGTCCCGGGGGAAAGTTAAACTGTCATTGGATCCGCAACGAAATCAAATTAATCATAAGAACATAGGAGGACTGGGTTCTTTATTAGCCTAGGCGCAGACCATTGACTTTTAGTTGGCCGAAAGTTGGGTCGGGCTGTTGATTCGTATGGAGATGTATGAAAGTGCGCACATTCCGCCGATTTTGTATCGGCCGATTCGTCATACAAATTAAAATCGGGCGAAACTATTGGCCAACTAAAAGTCGGTGTTCTGCGCCTAGACGAATAAAGAACCTAGTGTAGTTTCTATTCGTACCTTGACATTTTCAACTTCGGGCCTCGTAGTGTCTTGCGTAGGCGCAGACTTGACCTGCCGCTCTGCAAACAATTCTGGTTCCGAATCGCCTTCAAATAGAGTCGACTTTTGCTTGGCAGGAGTCGACGACTGTAATACAAATACAAAATAAAAGCGAAAGGTCACCGATTGACTGACGCCCGTACTCGCAAACATTACTATGAGGTCTCACAGTGCGCGTGGACGCACAGGGTGACACACGAACCAATCACAGAGCTCTATTCAACGCTGTGCATTCGATCTGCTGCTTAACTTAAGCAAGCGTGCAAAATGAAATAGCCCGCAGAATCGCTAAAATCAAGTGGCAGTGGGAGGGGCACATAGCTCGTAGAGACGATAGCCGTTGGGGCAGAAAAGTTCTCGAGACCACGAGCCGAAAGACGTAGTGTGGGCAGGCCTCCCACTAGGTGGCCCGACGACCTCATAAGGGTGGCGCTGGATGCAGGCCGCTACCAACCGGCCATTGTGGAAATCGTTGGAGGCCTATGTTCAGCAGTGGACGTCCTATGGCTGAAATGATGATGAAAATACACACCTGGGTATCCTTAAAATCGCTAAAAACATCTCCATCGTATTCCTCCCTCAGCCCGCTAAAAAGCTCCTCTGCCGTGCGACTCTGGTCCTTATTACTGTGGGAATAAGGCTTGTTTTTGTGCAACTCCGCGAATATATCGTCGTCCTCCTCTGGCGTATCGTCGTCCTGCTCTATTTGGCAGTCGAGGGGCGGGGGCTCGTCGGAGAATATTGTGCCTGAGAAAAGGAAATTTCATGTTTTCTATTACAAATTACAGTAAAGTCCGGTCGCCGAGCAGATAGAATTTCGTCCAATGACCCCAAGCTACCCATCCTTATCGCTCGCGCGTAATTATGTTGCTGTCGCGTTCGCACACTCACTGCGGGCGCGCGTCGCACAGTCGCGACAGCAATACAATTACGCGCGAGCGACGGTGTGTGGTGTGTGGTCGGCGACCGGACTTTATTACAAATTTAATTACAGTAGACAGTAATATCGCTCGTAATACAACTGCATAAAATGACAGTGTTTAGCTTAATGCGTCATAATCTGAGGGCTTAAAAAATATGAACATTTTAGGTCTTGAAAGTACCCGCTAGGGGCGCTGTACAATCCGTCATACATTTAATGTCATTTTTTACGCACTTACTACATCGCTTGCCTCTCTAACTGACGACATTTAGAAAAAATTTCAGGCGATTAGACAGATCGATTCGTCTTGAAAAATTGATTAAGATGGTGAAGATAACTCAGTTTCGAAAAAAATGACAGATACGTCAGTTAGAGGCAAGCGAAGACTAGTGACGACGTTTGATGTAAACTCACACTAAGCTCTCTGTATATGGCGTATAATTTTCTAAAAATGCACAAAAACTTAAAAATTTTGAAAACGGTGATATTTTTATTAGGGTCAAAAGATGTTAGGGAGACCATGGCGAGGCCTATCGATGGATACAGGGTTATCCATTGTTTTTGGGACACCCTGTATAATTTCTATTTCATTACCCAGTCATCATCACAATTGTAATTATAACAAAAGTAAAACAAACAACTTACCAGGTGTAGGTTGCTCCACGCGGTACACCTTGCGTGTGGTCGGATTCGGTGGACTGTACTCCGGTTCTTGAACTGGTATCTGTAAGACAACAGAGAAATGTCCAATAATCATTTCTGGCTTTGTGTATCACATGCGACTCTTGCGAACCACTTAAAAATTAAATACAGAGTACTGTACGGCTAGCACGAAAAACTTTCGAGTTCGAATCGTTTGCGTATTCTAATCATCATCATCATTTCAGCCATAGGACGTCCACTGCTGAACATAGGCCTCCCCCAATGCTTCCAATCCAATCGCCATCAAACGTAAAGTGTCGTAAAGTGAACTTACAGTGAATAAGGTTCTGGAATGGAGGCCGCGTACCGGAAAATGCAGCGTGGGACGTCCACCCACAAGGCGGACCGACGACATCATAAAGGTAGCAGGAAGGCGTTGGATGTAGGCCGCTACCAATCGATCAACATGGGAAGCATTGGGGGAGGCCTATGTTCAGCAGTGGACGTCATGTGGCTGAAATGATGATGATGATGATGATCACCAGTGCCGGGACCGAACCCATGTCCTGTTCGGACGGCAATTCGGAACTTGTCTGACGGGTTCAACACTAGAAGTCCTGTTGCTAGAGTGATGATGATCCACGTGGATCACTAGTGACTCACACGCCTTACGTGCCTTTTCACACGTTCCGGTTGCCGGCTATCCGGCGCCGGGTACCCGGTGGTGAAGTGTATGGGCATGGTACGGAGCTTTCACATGTTCCGGCGTAATTAATCCGGCATTCGGTCGCCGGGTGCGCGCCGGATCCACCACTGTACGTCCGGTCGCCGGGCACCGGTTAGCCGGCGGCCGAACTGACAGTGGTGTATGGAACACGCAACTAGCTTTCACACGCGCCGGCCGGTCAGTCGTCCAGGTACTCAGTCTGCGAGAGTTGCAGTTTCTCATTTTTGTATCCTGACGTTGCAAAGAGTTCTTCAAACGTTTATGTAATTCATCAAAAGTAGTTGTACTTGAAAAACCTGTCTTCATGTGCTCGTAGATCTGGGAATAATGTATAGAATGCACCTAATGCTTCTCTTTTCATATTAATTGTATGAACCCAATAACTTCTTGATATTTCTTTCCGGCGCAGATATTTTCGTCTTCGATATATTTATTTTTTTATGCATAACAAGGCAGGTATTTGATCACAATCGCACCTGATGTTAAGTGGGATGCAGTCTAGGATATAAAAGCCACATTGCAATTATTTGTTCACGGTCCATCTTTGAAAGTATGAAATGAACGAGACTGTACTCTTGTCGGCTCTCTAGTCGATACTGCCGTCATCAACCGGGGCGTGTGAAAGCTCATTTGACGCCGGGTAGCCGGCAACCGGGACGTGTGAAAAGGGCCTACCTGTGGTTACTGTTCTCCAAGCTTCTGGCAGGTCTGACGGGTTTAGTGATGGAACGTCTTGTTGCTAGAGTGATAATGACCCACGTGGATCACTAGTGACTCACGTCTTAACTGTGGTTACTGTTCTCCAAGCTTCCTGCAGGTCTGACGGGTTTAGTGATGGGACTTCTAGTTGCTAGAGTGATGATGATCCACGTGGATCACTAGTGACTCACGTGGATCACTAGTGACTCACGCCTTAACTGTGGTTACTGTTCTCCAAGCTTCTGGCAGGTCTGACGGGTTTAGTGATGGGGCTTCTAGTTGCTAGAGTGATGATGACCCACGTGGATCACTAGTGACTCACGCCTTACCTGTGGTTACTGTTCTCCAAGCTTGCAGGTCTGACGGGTTTAGTGATGGAACTTCTTGTTGCTAGAGTGATAATGACCCACGTGGATCACTAGTGACTCACGCCTAACTGTGGTTACTGTTGTCCAAGCTTGCAGGTCTGACGGGTTTAGTGATAGAACGTCTTGTTGCTAGAGTGATAATGACCCACGTGGATCACTAGTGACTCGTGCCTGATATTCTGTGCTGGCTGTCTTCCCACTCTCCTAGCGAGTTCTGCTGCTGACGCGTTCAACAGTGGAAATCTTATTGCCGATGGAATAATTCACATGTATCACCAATGACTCATTACCTGTGCTTGCTGTCCTCCTAGCTTCTTAGCGAGTTTTGCTGCCGAGCCGGGTTTAGATGTGGACATATTGTTGCTAGAGTAATGAATGATGATGATGATGACCAGTGCCTCACCTGTGCTTGCTGCCCTCCCAATCGCCTCGCGAGCTCGGCTGCGATGTCTGAAGGCGACGGCTTGATCGTCGCGGCCGGGACCGAGCCTATGTCCTGCTCGGACGGCAGTTCAGAACTTGCTGTTGATTCCTGAAATATTTGGAGTAAATAAACTGAATTCATTCATTCATTGGGTGCGTTTGGCGGAAAATATTGTAAGCGTTTAGAGCATAATGGCGATCGCAACGCCAGTTTTCGGCGAGGACGCGTTTGCTAACTTCAATAGTGACTTGAATCTGTGACTTTTCAGATTTTTTAAGCCAGCAGTTTAGTTTTTAGAGGGGGGAGGGACGCCCTACTCGAACAAAAATTGGCACTTTAAACTTTAACATATTGTAAACGGATCCCTAAATCGAAAAATGGTCTGTAAAACTCCTAAGCCATTTTAAAAGAGCTACCGAATGATACCCCACGCAATGGGGTAGAAGAAGAAAAAAAAATTCATGCCCAGTTTAATGTAGGGGAGCTACTCTAAAAAAATATTTTTTACAAAATTTTCACCAGATCGTCGGTCCACCTAGTAGGAGGCCTGCCCACGCTACGTCTTCCAGCCCGTGGTCGCCACTCGAGAACTTTCCTGCCCCAACGGCCATCGTCTCTACGAGCTATGTGCCCCGCCCACTGCCACTTGATTTTAGCAATTCTGCGAGCTATGTCGGTTACTTTGGTTCTCCTGCGGATCTCCTGGAAGAGCCTGGATGCGGGCAGCGCAGGACCGTTCATTGTGGAAAACCTTGGGGGAGGCCTTTGTCCAGCAGTGGACGTCATTTGGCTGAAAACGAACGAACGAACAAAATTTTATTCTACCGTTTTGTCAGCGTGGTTAATATACGTACCTCCACAAAATTACAGCTCTCTAGTGATAATAGTTTCCAAGCAAAACCTCGGACAGACATATCGAAACTATAAGGGTTCCTTGTCAGGACTACGGAACCCTAAAAAACATGTCTCTCCTAGTGCAGTCGGGTAGCAATACTAGCAAAACATACCTCTCTCTCGTGCTGCGCCCTGGCCGGCTGGCTTATGGTCATCTCTGGTTCGGAGTCGGAGAACTCCTCATTCTCATGGTCTTGCTTCGACATCGAGCTGTCCGAATCGCTGTCTTCGGGGTGCAGGCCTGGTGATTCAAATCAAATAATATAAATATATTCAAAATGTACAAATAAAGCGTTTTCAAATGATACCAAACACGGCATATTTATCTTAACTTTATTTTTTTACTCTGAATGTTTTGTCCGCTAGAGGGCGCCACATTAGATTTTGTGAAACCCCATATAGCCTATAACCAGCGGACAATTAAGACGCTTCTAATGATATGTCATTTGTCGAATTCTGATAAGTAGTTTAGAAGTTAAAGAAAGAAAATTAAACGAAACTTGCGAGCAAAAGTATAGTAAGACGTCAGCACAGACAGCGTACACAGAAATCTTTGCTAGTGTTATGTACTCAACTCTCGTTGAGCGATCTACAGTGTGTCCCAGAATGGGTGAATCAAACTGCTAGGGGAGGTAGCTCTTCGTTCGTTTCAGCCAAATGACGTCCACTGCTGGACAAAGGCCTCCCCCAAGGTTTTCCACAATGAACGGTCCTGCGCTGCCCGCATCCAGGCTCTTCCCGCGACCTTTACCAGATCGTCGGTCCACCTAGTAGGAGGCCTGCCCACGCTACGTTTTCCAGCCCGTGGTCGCCACTCGAGAACTTTCCTGTAGGTAGGTAGGTAGGTAGGTAGGAGGTAGCTCTACTAATGTACTATTCCTAAAAAATATGAAAAAAAATAAAGCGCATAAGGAAACAAAAAAAATGTTTTTTTTTTAAAGTGAAAATAAATCAGCTTTGCCTAAGTATCTGGCTATAATTGCTGCGTTTGGAGTTTATTTGTAACTACTAATATTAATTGTACATGATCGCTTCGTTTATCTGTAAACAAACTTTTGAAAATAATGACTAGATTTCGAGTTTAGAGCACTTTATTAAAAAAAAAAATCATATTTTTTAAGGATAGTACATTAGTAGAGCTACCTCCCCTAGCAGTTTGATTCACCCATTCTGGGACACCCTGTATACAAGCCGTCTAATTTTGTCTCAAGGAGCTTTTAATAAAACATGTTTATGATTTTTTTGCCCTACCAGCGCTTTGAGACAAACATTTGGCAAGTGCTAGGAAGAAGCGACGTAAAAACTCAGTTTAATAATAGAAAGAGTAGAAATATTTTTTTTTACCTATGTAACTGCCGATATTTAGCAGTTTTGTTCTTTGTGAGTTTACATAAACATTTTAAACATACATATCGTGGGTCGAATTGTCGAAAAGACGTAACTGATTTTTATCAATTTTACAGGAGCGACATTTAAGTCTGGAAGTATGGAAAATGTGCCTCTTTTTAACTGTTAATACTGACTTCCTGACAAAGAATTCAGTTACAATCTTTTTTGAGGTTATAAAATGTATGTTGTTTTCTAATAACATGGTGTGTTTAGCTCAATATCGCCATTTTATTAATTACTAGCGGCCGCCCGCGACTTCGTACGCGTGGACCTCATTTAATTACTAATGATGTTGATAGATGGCGTTTCACGGCTTCCCCCGCATGAATATTTACGAATGTCAAAAATGTTTGTCCAGCGCTGTAGATTAACCAATGACGATAGATGGCGCTTTTTACCCACGTCTTATTTATTGATTGAAATTTAGTTTATCACATATCTCATAAATTATAGCCTAATGTTAATCTGGATTATAAACAATAATACTGTAAAGTTTCATTAAAATTTGTTCAGTAGTTTTTGCGTGAAAGAGTAACAAACATCCAGAGATTCAGACATCCACACAAACTTTAGCATTTATAATATTAGTAGAATAGTAGGATGCCTTTTCGTGATTCGACCCACGATATTTGATTTTATTTATTCACCTGCATGCCATTTGTTCCTCCAGGCTTGTGAGCCAATGACGTAGGGCAGCGGTCGGTGAGCGTACATGTCTCTCGGTTTCAGGACCATTCTGTAACCAAAAAATATATTATAGTTTCTTATGGATCACTTGTGATTCATAGTAATCACTGATCATTCTAATGGAAGATGATGTGTTTGAATTAGGTACTGGCAGAGTAAATACAAATGAGTAGGTGATCTTCATAGAAACGCACCGAGCGCGGTTTGGATTTTTTTTGGATCGCTGGGGACTCGCGTGGATCGCTGGTGACTCGCGTGGATCACTGGTGACTCGCGTGAAGCTGTCGCTAGCCAGTATCTTCAGTGTATCGTGTGCTCCCGCCACGTGAGCTACGTTGCACTCAGTAGACACATGGATCACTGATGATTCACGTGGATCACTGGTGACTCGTACCTGGCGTCTTCATCATCTTCGCTATCACTGGCTAGTAATCTCGAGGGAGTCGTGAGCTGCTGCCACGTGAGCCACGCTGCGCTCAGTAGACATATGGATCACTGGTGACTCATACCTGATGTCTTCATCATCGTCGCTGTCGCTAGCTCCCGTCACGTGAGCCACGGTGCCCTTTAGTAGACACATGGATCACTGGTGATACACATGGATCACTGGTGACTCATACCTGGCGTCTTCATCGTCGTCGCTGTCGCTAGCCAGTATCTTTAGTGTATCGTGTGCTCCCGCCACGTGAGCCACGCTGCGCTCTGTAGACATATGGATCACTGGTGACTCATACCTGGCGTCCTCGTCGTCGTCGCTGTCACTGGCTAGAATCTCGAAGGTGTCGTGTGCTCCCGCTACGTGAGCCACGCTGCCCTTTAGTAGACAGATGGATCACTGGTGACGCTGCTGCTACGTGAGCCACGCTGCGCTCAGTAGACACATGGATCACTGGTGACTCACATGGATTACTGGTGACTCATACCTGGCGTCTTCATCGTCGTCGCTGTCGCTAGCCAGTATCTCGAGGGTGTCGTGTGCTGCTGCCGCGTGAGCCACGCTACTTTCAGTAGACACGTGGATCACTGGTGATACACATGGATCACTGGTGACTCATACCTGGCGTCTTCATCGTCGTCGCTGTCGCTAGCCAGAATCTCGAGGGTGTCATGTGCTGCTGCCGCGTGAGCCACGCTACTTTCAGTAGACACGTGGATCACTGGTGATACACATGGATCACTGGTGACTCATACCTGGCGTCTTCGTCGTCGTCGCTGTCACTAGCCAGAATCTCGAGGGTGTCGTGTGCTGCTGCCACGTGTGCTATGCTACGCTTCAGTAGTAATACTTCTGACTCTGACGATGGTGCTTTTGGGACTTCCTACAAACAAATTACACAATTAAATACAAATTCAAACATTTATTGCATGAAACACGATACACAGACCAAAAATTTACTATAGTTCTTGCAACTCACGAAGGCGAGTGAGCTTTATGCACATAACGATAGTGTAATATCTATCAAAACTTATGAACAACGAACAGTAGCGAGCCACCACACATGTATCGTTCACTCGCCTTCGTGAAATGCAACAACTATACTGATCTATGATCTACTGAACTATACGACGCACTTGATGGTAAAATAGTCAGTTATTCTGTGATTGAGGATTCCGAGTGATGCTCGCTTCTATCTCTGAATGAAATTCAGTCCAAGACCTTCTCCGTTATAGTTGAAAAAGAAAGAAATGACTGGCGGATGGTTTGTTATTGTTTGTGAATGATATAACAACTATTGTGCGCTAGGACGAGAATCGCCATTGAATTCCGTGAACACAGAGAAAACCCTAACATAAATAATAAACATCTAAATCCCGGTCCGTGAGCACGTAGAATTTTGTCCAATGACCCCTATCTACCCATCCTTATCGCTCGCGCGTAATTATATTGCTGTCGCGACTGTGCGACGGGCGCCCGCAGTGAGTGTGCGAGCGCGACAGTAACATAATTACGCGCGAGCGATAAGGATGGGTAGCTTGGGGTCATTGGATAAAATTCTACGTGCTCACGGACCAGACTATAATAGTAAAAATAACTTATACAGGGTGTCCCAAAAATAGTGTCAAGCCGAAACCCAGAGGTAGAACATCACTAGGGCTATCCAAATCACCCCCATGTATGTTCCGCGATTTTTGATAGTTTTAACATCTACCTGCATGCCAAATTTCAGCCCGATCCGTCCAGCGGTTTGGGCTGTGCGTTGATAGATCACTATGTCAGTCAGTCACCTTTCGAGTTAATTTATAATTAATAATTTGGAATTACCTTAGGCGGCTCTTGCGCCGCTATGTCGACGTCATCGTCGTACACTCGACTTTCGATGAACTGAGTGTTGCTTAGAGCCATGAATCTGTAAAGGAGGTATACCGTATTATTTATAATTCTATTTTTTTTTATCCACAACGAGGAATCTCTTGGCCTGTATCTCACCTGATGGTAAGTGATGATCAGGCCGAAGGTGGAAGCGAGCTTCACCCGGAATCCTCAACCACGGAGGAACTGGCTATCTTACCTCTAACTGCCGGAACACAACAATGCTGTTAACATTGTTGTTATGGCGACAGACTTAGGTAAGATGTTGGTAGCTAGCCAGGCGGACTTAGAACAAGCCCTACCACCAACCAAACCGAACAGAAAAATCTGCCCCCACTGGGAATCGAACCCGGGACCTCTGCGTCTGAAGCTGGTGGTCTTACCACTAGACCACAGAGGCGGTTATATCAATATACAGGGTGGGAACGATAAGTGACAGTTAATATGAAGTTTATTGTAAATCATCCCAATTTGAATTTAATTTTAAAACATACAAAATCTTACTTATTATTAACGTTCTGCAGGTCGACGCTAGCGCCATCCAGCGCCAGAACCATTTCATCCAGCTTCCGGTTCACCTCCTGGCATCGGGTCACCAAGCTCTGCAAGTATAACAATGTTGAATTATTTTAAAGCGTGTAGTCCTAACTAAGTACATAAATGATTCTCCTATAGCATAGATGAGGGTTTCCCAATTTTTTTTTTTGCCAAGGAACCCTAACTGATTATACTTTTCCTAGCGGAACCCCCGTACTACTCCGCCCGCACGCCCTGCCCCTCCCTTGTGCGTAAACAAGTCGGTGCGAGCGAACAACGTCGGTCACGAAACGTGGGATAATATTTTTTACGGAACCCTTGCGGCCTTTCCACGGAACCCCAGGGTTCCGCGGACCACCTTTCGGGAACCGCTGGCATAGATAGATAGTTTCATCCACGAAGACTCGCCCAATAAATTTTTGGTCAAGGGAAGCGCAGGGTGCGGGTAGTTTGATCCGAGCAATCCGAGCGGCATTATTGTAGTGTGCGTGTGCACTCATGGATGATTAGTGTGAACCGATAACACTCTGACATTAGCGGAAGAATGGTGGGGCGCGTCTTCGTGGATGGAACGATCTATGGTATGATAGACAGTCTGTGATGTCACTTTTTAGATACAACCAAATATATATCTAACTTTCAAAGCTACAAATATTAATCTTACCCACTTACTTATAAAAAGTTATACGCACTGTTTTATTTAAATAAAGCATGTAATTTTTTTTAATAAGGAGATTATTTTTCAGAGTGGCTTCACACTCATAGAACAAGTAACACAGAAATACTTAATTTATTTATTTATGAACAAAAACAGTAACATGAGAATTATTTGGGTCAGGTGGGTAAAAAAGTTACGGTTTTTGCGGGTAGTTTTGTCTCGTTATCGTTGGCTAATGTCGACTGCCCAATTAAGGCTCGGTTTCCACCAAGACGGAGCAGAGTTGAGCGTAGCGGAGAAGGGTTTTGAATAACCAATCAGATTTAATTATTTCCACATCTCCGCTCCACACAGATTCGCTCCGCACCACGCCGCTGCCCGCGTTGCTCCGCTCCGCCTTGATGTAAACCAGTCCTAAGGCTGGTTTTAGTGTCACGCGGACTGTCAGTGCGGATCGGTCCGCACAGCCGATCTGTATGAACTTCTAGGAAGCGAGCGGTACCTCCGGACCGCATTACTCTAAAACGCTCCCTAGAAGTTCATACAGATTGGCCGTGCGGAGCGGGTCCGCACCGGACGGTCCGCGTGACACTAAAACCAGCCTAATACCTGGTATTGCTGGCCTATCTACTTAGGCAGTACCTGGCGTGGACTAAGAGAATAGGAAGTTCGCTTGTTTTCAGATAAGTGATGTTCACAGCTGGACAAAGGGAAATGGGAGTAACTTTTTTTGTGAGACAGGAGGCGACCGAGCTTCATTTAGGTATCATTTATAGTGAGATCAAGGGACTATTCCCACCTCTCGTTCCCACCACTGCAACTCCTGTGTAGCCAGGAACTACAGCTTGACCGCCACAAAAACCCAACCAATGAAGGTCAAGTTTGTCCCGGGGGAAAGTTAAACTGTCATTGGACCCGCAACGAAATTAATCAGAAGAACATAGGAGGAGTTCGAAATTAAGGTTCGACTTCCCTCCATTGCAAAGCGGATGACAGGTGACAAACAAAGGTTTAAAACCTTTAAGAAAAAGATTATGCACCACGGACAATAAATTAAATTAAGCGGGCCTATCTTATGAGCAATTAGCAACTACCTGCCAATAATATTTTTCACAAAATCGCTTAAAAGCACGGAAATTTTTCCTGTCGCGACAAGATCGGTGTAATAAATTGCGGAAACAGATGTATGTTGTATTGAATTAAGCATTATATCACGTTCATGTTTCCAAAGATCACACTCCCACAAGATATGATGGGCAGACTGCTCATGACTGACATCATCAGTGGAACACTCGCAAAAAGGAGACGGAACTAGTTTGAATTCGTGAAGTTTATGTTTAAAGTTGCCATGTCCCGTGAGGAACTGCGACGAGCAATGGTCGATTTCTAACCATCGCCTAGTTAGACGTTCGCGTACATTCGGGAAGAATTTATATAAGTGACGTCCTTTGACTGACGTATCCCATCTTTTTTGCCATTCATTAAGTAAATCTTCTTCAACGACTTCTCGGGAATCAAATAATCGACTTATTTTAGAACGATCGCGGCTATTTAAGAAATCGGAGGTTATATTTTCCCTTGATGCGAAGTACATAGCCGCACGCTTTTGTACCTCTAAGTCGACCGGCAGTACACCAGCCAGGACTGGCAGAGCCTCCGTGCTCACAGTTCTGTAAGCTTTGCAAAGAAAAATCAATGCAAGGCGTTGACTTTGGAGTAGTTTCCGTCGAGCGGCTCCTATAGTAGCTCTGTCAGCCCAAACTGGTGCACCATAGCAAATGGAGCTTAAATAAGTGGCCGAATATATTACTCGGAGGATTTTAAACGTTAGACCCCACGTCGAGGTTGAAATGTGACTTAAGGCATAAAAGTTCTTTTTAGCTTTTTCACCGATCTGTTTAATGTGCTCGACAAAACTAAAGTTTTTCTCTAAAATTAGTCCGAGATAGCAAACAGATTCCCGTTTTTTAACAGTTATTTCATTGAATTTAATGCGAGGCAAAACTTTAAGATTACCTTTTAATAGAAGCTGATAAGTTTTGTGAGGGGCAAACTGCAAACGATTCCTGTCTCCCCATTGAGATATTAAATTCAAGCATGTATCCGCTAGATTTTCAAGCTTTGATCTAGTGTCAGCCAGTCAGTTATAGTGAGATCACTTGATGGTACATGATTACCGTCGCCCATAGACACACGCAGGGCGGCCTTAAGAGGATTCATCATTATTTCAGCCACAGGACGTCCACTGCTGAACATAGGCCTCCCCTAATGCTTTCCATGTTGCCCAATTGGTGGCGGCCCGAATCCAGCGACTGCCCGCTACCTTTATGAGGTCGTCGGTCCACCTTGTGAGGAGTACCTGGTGTATGTTCTGCAGGATGTCCAGCAGTTGCTTGTCCCCCGCTAGACTCCACTGCGGCGCGGCGCTTCGTAGCGACGTTGTGTTTGCCTCCATTGCTGCTTGCTCGCTCACTGGAACGAAGAAATATTTGAAAAAGTGACTGACAATAGTGGCTGAGTTTCTTGCGCTGCTTCTTCTCAGCACTGGCCCATTTATTGTCCTGAAGCAGTGGTAGGGTTAATACTGGGATGTGTAAAAGTGCTTTATAAAGCCCACTTGCATAAATTAATGAGTTTTATTGAACTAGATTTGCCCACGTTTTTGCTGGCTGAAGTTTGGTCACTCATAGTTTCTTTAAATTCTTAGTTCCAATTCGACCAAACTTTTATCCAATAACTCCTGGTATAACTGGCACATTGACAGTTTCAGTATGGGATAAGTAGGTAAATTTTAAGTTGATTTTTCTGTCAAGTTGGTGGGCGGGGCTTGTCACTCTATATGTTTTGACAAGCAGTTTCATAGTAAACAAGAGCTTGATGTTTGGAATTAATATTCTTCCCTTTAACAATGTTTGTTTTATTTTATTTTAAAATTACTCCAGATTACTTCATAATGTAGCTTCATACAATAAACTTGGTAACACAAACTTTACTACCTCTTTTATATTATTACTGTAGAAGACAAAATCTAATAAATAAAATCAACAAAATATTGTCAGTGGAATAATCTATACTAATATTATAAATGCAAAAGTAACTGTCTGTCTGTTCACGCCTAAACCAATTTTGATGATATTTGGCATAGAGATAGTTTGAGTCTCAGGAAAGGACATAGGATAGTTTTTATCCCGGTTTTTTAAACATAGACGTGCGCGATATAGTTTTTCTGTGACAGACAAAATTCCACACGGGCAAAGCCGCAGTCGGAAAGCAATTAATAATTAATTAAAACTAAGTTTTAAACTTGAATAAATAACAAGTAAAAAAACTAGCACTGCCCTGGTTTACTCATATATTTGTTCAGGTGTGAAGTAGATTTTAGTGTCATATTATGTTAATCGAAAAAAAACATTGCAAGATATAACATTAAGTGTAATATTAAATTATCAGTATTTGTTCGTACTTTAAAAAAAATTATAATTCGTTTTTAGAAAAAAAGGCAGTAAAGTTGTGTCAAAATCACGTTTAGAGCTATGATGAGTTTAACAGAAGAACACATAATTTTATTTTCTACTAGCTGAAACATCAAACGTCGTTTTGCACCAAAAGGTATGAAAATTTAGGTCTTCTTAGAAAATTTTAAGAATCAGTCAAGACGTTTCAGAATAATTTTGTTACAAACACTGTGGCATCAAGATTTAATGTATTAGATATAAAAAAATATTGATATTCAAGTTCCACATAGAAATTACAATGGTGATACTATGACCAGTCTTTATCCACACTAAGTTGTGTACAACACTTTTAAGTGAATAACTTGAGAAAGAAAAAGTTAATAAACCTCTCAGCTTCATTAAATCCTAATAAAATGATTATAAACTTGAATAAAATAGCAATGACACAATTATAACTTGATAAACACAATCAACTCTTTTTGGATCACATTATTGGCCGCAAATCACGAATCATGTTGACAGTGATATCATTAGTCAATACATGCAAACCGGACGAGCTCGTGAAGCAAACGAGTAATTGAGATTATTAAAAAGTGTGCTAGACTAATATAATAACCATACAAGGCATCTATGTCCAATTACACTAAATTTTCTCAAGGAACTCACCCGTATTTTAACCACAACACACTTTACATCACTGCGGTTGTATATTTCGGAATTTCGACACACAAAACAATATTTAAATGCAATATAATTTAAGTTTTTTGTCAAATTTCCACAAAAATAAACACGTACGCTCGCTCGTACAAAAACAGAAACTGACAAATGACAGCGGTGGCCAGTGTTGCCAAGATTAGCGCAAAAATAATTACAGATTCGTAAGTGGTGTAACTTTCTCCACATTTTGGTACTTTCGCCATAATATTAATTAGCTAATGAATAAATTACGTAATAAAAATGCAATTCCTTTAAAATAAATCTAAATTATATCGGCCCATTGCCAATAGTAACCGAATTTAACTTCGAATATTGAAAAATTCATTAAAAATAAATTTTAAAGTACAAAATATTTGTTAATTTCTCCAAACACTTTCACAATTAGAAATAAATTAATATATTCACCTAATTATGCTTATATTTCAGGCGTTTCTTTTACTTTGTACCCAGCAAACCGCGAAGTCCAGTCATTGCCTTCATTTTGGTGTGAAAGTATATTATGCCGGCTTGAATTTTAAATCGGGTAAGTGTGTAATTTTTATCAATTCCTTAACTCATACATTATTCACTAATTAGTAGAATTAGCTGCAAAATTGCACTAAACAAAGAAACGATTCACACGATTTTTGGCCGTTAAATAGGTAAGTATATAGGTAGATACTTAACTTGTTTCCAGTTTGCCTGTCTTATGAAATAATTTGCCATCTGAACCTAAATATAAAATTAAAGACTGACATTCAAATTGAAGTAAAATATATTATAATAGCCCATCAGAATATTTTTTGTTGCAAAATACCTATCACCAATTAAATATAACTAATTAAGATGCCACAGTGTTTTTAACACGTTGAGTGCGAAACCAGGTCTATAGACCTTGTGCACGTCTCGCTTACCGTGCGGCTAAGAAAATTATAGTCTTCCTTGTCGTGCGAAAGGCATAACTTCAATTGGGTCCGGTGTAGGAAAGTGATGAATATATTTCTATGATGTATTCTTAAAATAGAATCCAATGATGTACCTACCTTAAAACCAGGTTTTTAGACCTGGTACCGCACGGAAGTAATAAAATGTCTTCACAATGCGAAACCAGGTCGAAGCACCTTGTACCCTGCGCACCTGGTACCGCACCCCACGCTAGCTTCGTGCAGCCAGTGTTGCCTCGCATTCGTAAGAAACGCACATGTCGACATGGCGTCAAGAGAAACAAACAAAATCAAAACTGCAAATTGATTATAATTTAATTTGCTACACGATTTATTGCTAATTTAAATAATGTTTTTCGTGACAAACATTTGAAGTTGTAACTTAATGTTATTAAATAATATGTTTTCTTTAAATAAAGCTTATTTAAGTATTTATGCACGTATATCTTATTTGTAAAATATTTAGACTAAATTATTAAAACATCTTTGTTTGTTACTTTTTTAAATTTTTATTATAACTTAATTTAAACTATCGATATTTGTATTTCACATCCCTAGAATACCCACCAGACTTCCCTAATTCAGTGCGGCACAGGGTGCATAAGCCTTGTATTTTGAATATAGCTATAATTTTTATACTAAACAAGTTATTCACGAACGGCTTCAGGTGTATGTCAATAAATGCATTATTACTAATATTCAAAGAAAAAAAACACAATATCTATTAACATGAAGCCAAAAATAAAATTAATATATCTTAAATATTACAAGGTCTTTAAGCCTTGTGCCGCCACAATGTAAGTTTTAATACCAGGTTTACTGACCTTGTACCGAAGGAATGGAAAGTATAAGAAAGTTACTGCCGCAGCAAAGGTGTTAATCTTGAAGTGCTGTCGTCTTTACTTTCTACACTCGGAAGGTCGGAAGTTTCGGCTGTTATTAGATTAAGATAAGCAAGATTAATAGCCACACGTTCATAGTTTATTAGCTCAGAAAAGTTTTATTCGCAAGTTCGATGCGAACTCAGATGGACAAAAAATACAAAAATTAGTTCTATTTTCATTTCAGAGGTCAAAATCAAATTTTTTAGGTCCTGTAAACTAGTTATAATAGTAGGTACAATTTTTTTAATTAACTCCTCAATAAAGTGTCACTCTTAAGTAGCCTTTACATAATTCTGATGACTTTTTGCCCTACCAGCGCAGGAGCGCAGCGTTCTAGTTCTAGCGCCTGAGCAGCTCTGAGCCCCGATTACGGTAATTTTTAACGTCAACAATCCAGACACGCTTCTCGATTCGGCGATACGATTGGTCGTTCAACAGCGTACGTCAGCTGTTTTGACCAATCGTATCGCAGAATCAGAAACGCGTCTGGATTGTAGACGTTATAAAAGTTACCGTAATCGGGGCTCTGCACTCTTATCATTTGGCGAGTGTTGAGAAGAAGCGCCTTGTTTTTCTTGGACTGAGCAGGCTGCAACTCGGCTCATGCATTGAGCTATGCTAGATATTGGAATGAGTCGATTAAGCAACGATTTTTTACTAAACTGCGGAATCTAACCCTACCTACACCTTGAATGCGAATATCACATTTTATTGATTCTAATAATATTCGCAGTTCGTTAGATAACATACAAATGACTATGACAATGAGCACGCAGTTATTATTGTTATTGCGATAAAATTATCAATATTATGATTCAGGCCGTGGTGTATAATTGCAAAAGGATGTGGCTTTGATTTTTTCTATAAAGAAAATATTTATTCTGTGTGGTTTATTAATAATAATTAACACGTATTATAAAGTGTTTTATAGATAAATAACTATTTATTATTTAATAGCATTACAGTTGCGCTAATAGGCTGGTTTATTTATACAAAGACTGAAAATGAAATACCCAGTAGTCCGCAATCACAGACACTCAAATTACGAGTAGTTACTAGGCTAGGACAAAAGGCAATTCGCTGTCGATATTAGTGGGCCTTTTCAGCATGCAAAATAGCCGTTGGCTAATAAATCGGTCTATTGATTCTATTGTTTTACCATGTTATCAATAGGATGAGTATTCATGTGTGAAAAATAAACTCATTCTGCACAATAATTTATTAGAAGTCAAGTTGGTATCTATCCATCTATGTCAGCAGTTTATCACACTTCTAAAAGAATACCCAAGTACAGTTACATTCAGCATTACAGGAAATTCGAATTAGAAACAGAAAGTTTTCAACTGATGACAAAAACCATTGTCGTTTAGGCGTGAGAAAATACTTGAAAATACTTTTTTAAGCAGCAGGTAAACATTCTCAGACAATACCTACAGCATAATGATTGTCCGTGACCTCAAATGTAGGAATTCCTTTTACTATTTGCAAATTATATGTATAGGTATGCATTGTAAGGTAGTTACACATAGACATACTGACTGTTAAAATAACAACACCACCTACAAACATACAAATCAAATTGTAATTTACTTGATGTAGTTTTTTGACTGTCGCCTGGCTTGGGTGGTCTCTAAAATCAAGACTAAGTAGGTAGGTACAACAAACCCCTAGGGTTCGGGGATCTCGAGTTCTGTGAAAAATGAGATAAATGTTCACAAAGTGGTTTTTACCACAATCTTTTCAATCATTCATCATTATTGCGAGCAAGAGAAAGATTTGGCAAGAGGCGCCCAAAAAGGTTATTGTTTATTTACATAAGTATGTACTTATCTACTTGATATGTAAGTAATTTAAATTTCTCCACCACCACAACTTCATCAAACAAAATCATGAATGCAAATTCTTGCACCCTCAAGAATTATGCTCATGAACATCAAAAATAGACACGCACCCCCATAAACAGATTAATATACTCTCAAACAACCCTTCACGATATTGGATAGGCATTCCGATGTTCACATCCAACCACCAATTCACTGATTTGGAATTAACTCGATGGAGAATTCGCCCGAATCTGGGGAAATTCCTAAATATTTATTTCAAACAGAGCTCTCTGGTGTGGAAGCAGAGCTGTTTATCTATCTTTTGAATTTTCAGCCCGATTATTGCAAATCTTGCTTGGATGTTGCAAAATCTTTTGTTTTTTAGACTAAAAATTCGACCTACCTACTTAACCCATTTAGACCTACCGTACCCTATGTGGTACGGTATCTTTTTGAAAATATTTTTGAAGTACCAAACTGTTGTTGTTTTGTAAAAATGACTGTAGCAGTAAGCTGAAAGTGATTATTTTACATAAAAATATTTAAAAATACGTTTTGACAAGTGGTTTCGGAAATATTTTTGAAATTCCTCGACAGAAAACAAAAAAAATATTTACAATGTATTCAAGAAGACATATTTCATATTATTTATAGTAAATAATAATATTTATCAATTTTATTTCAAAAATAGAGTGTAATAGATATCATGACTACAAAAAAAAATTTTTTGAGACTATTTTTATACGGTTTTTTCTAGTCTAAAATACGTGTACCATATAAGGTACAGTAGGTCTATGCATAAGCAAATCATGCGAGAAAATATAATTTATTTTTTATTATTTTTCTTTGTTTAGGCTATTGATGTTTCACTATATTGCCACAACTCTTGAAAAATTTGATAATTTCAGCAAACATAAAGCAATATTGGTATTTTTCTACTGTTGTCTTGTTAGATGACCACTAATGACGATCAGAGTGACGAAGATTCAGGCGATAAAGATAGTGTTGATGTAAATAATTACCCTCAGAGTTTTCTGCGATGGATTTGCTAATTTTCCGTCATCGTATTGTTAAATGCGGTTTTTGATCGCAATAAACGCAACAAGTCAGAAGAAGCCAAGTCTTCTTCAGCTATCCTCACTAACTTCGGAGAAGGTAGAAAAAAAGAACCAAATGTGGTTAGTGCCACAGAAAACGTCTTAAAAGGTATACCAAGTGTGATACTAGTGATTATGTGATTTAATTTTTATTTTATATCATACAAAAATAAATAAAAAACTTCTTTGAACAACTACTATATTTTGCATGCATATAGACCTACTGTACCCTATATGGTACGGGCTCTAAAAGGCCCCCTTTTTATGAATTATTTTTTTTAATATTTTTTTCATGATTTTTATGCTTTCCTTTGTAAGTTTTTGGTGAAAAATCCATTTTTATTTACAAAAATAATTATCGGT